GAAGGTTGTGCAATCTACTTCTGTAGTGATAACCCCTCGGAAACCCAAGGAGGGGTTGCTATGAGTTGTATCCGACTCGATGCCACTGAGTCGTGTGTGTGTGTGTGTGTGTGTGTGTGTGTGTGATTCAAGTGCAGATTCTGCATGAACACAATTAAGTGTTTGGGAATTCCCATTTTTCATGTTATCCATAAGTTTTTATGATCCATATAGTAGATTTACATCATGTGATCAATAAAACACAGGTAAACATTTTTCTGGTATTCTCTGCTCTGGGCCAAGATCTATGTAACATCAGAAATTATATCCCTCATTCCATGTCCTCTTCTGAATCTGGCTTGAACTTCTGGCATTCCCTGCTGATGTGCAGTTGTTGTTGTTGTTAAGTGCTGTCAAGTCGTCTTCAACTCACAGCAATCCTATACACAGCAGAACAAAACAAGGCCTGGTCCCGTGCCAGCTCCATGATCCCTGCTACCTTTGACCCCATTGCCGCAGCCACTGTGTTAATCCACCTTGTTGAGGGCCTTCCCCTCTTTCATTGACCCTCCACCTTATCAAGCATGACATCCTTCTCCAGGGAATGGTCCCTTCTGACAACATGACCAAAGTACGTGAGATGAAGTCTGGTCATTCTCACTTCCATGGAGCATTCCGGCTGCACTTCCTCCAGGGCAGATTTGTTAGCTCTTTTAGTAGTCCATGGTACTTTCAGCATTCTTCACCAGCACCACAACTCAAAATCATCAATTATTCTTCAGTCTTCGTTATTCATTGTCCAGCTCTCACATGTATATGATTGGAAATATAATGGCTTGTGTCAGGTGCACCCTAGTCCTCAATCCTCAAGGAGACATCTTTGCTCTTCAGCACGTGAAAGAGGTCTTTTGCAGCTGATTTGACCAGTGCTATATATATGTTGGCTGATGTTCTGACTGCTGCTTCCATTGGTGTTGATTGTAGAACCAAGTAATGTGAGTCTTTGACAACCTCAATCTTTTCTCCATTTATTGTGATGCTGCTTATAGGTCCAGTTGTGAGGATTTTTGTTTTCTTTACATTGAGATGTAATCCATACTGCAGACTGTATTCTTGTATTCTTCATCAGTAAGTACTTCAAGTCATCCTCACTTTCAGCAAGCAAAGTTGTGTCATCAGCGTATCACAGGTCGTTAATGAATCTTCCTCCAACCTTGATGCCACATTCTTCTTCATATAGTCCAGCTTCTTGGCTTATTTGCTCAGCATACAGATTGAATAAGTATGGTGAAAGGACACAACCCTGATGCACTCCCTTCTTGATTCTTAAACCATGCAGTGTCCCCTTATTCTGTTTGAACGACAGCTTCCTGGTCTATGTACAGGTTCCTCATGAGCACAATTAAGTGTTCTCAAATTCCCATTCTTCTCAATGTTATCCACAATTTTTTTATGATCCACACAATTAAATGCTTTTGCATAGTCAATAAAACACAAGTAAAAATCTTTCTGGAATTCTTTGCTTTGAGCCAAGATCCATCAGACATCAGAAATGATATCCCTTGTTCCATGTCCTCTTCTGAATCCGGCTTGCATCTCTGGAAATTTTTGGTCAATATACTGCTGTAACCATTTTTGAATTATCTTCAGTAACATTTTACTTGTGTGCAATATTAATGATACTGTTAGATAATTTTCATATTATGTGGGATCACCTTTCTTAGAAATGGGTACAAATATGTATCTCTTCCAGTCGTTGGCCAAGTAGCTGCCTTCCAAATCTCTTGGCAAAGATGAGAAAAAGTTCTTCCAGTGTTGTATCAATTTGCAGAAGCATCTCAACTGGTATTTGCCAATTCCTAGAGCCTTGTTCAGTGCAGCCTGAACTTCTTCCTTCATTACCAGAGTTTCTTGTTCTTTTGTTCCTTCTTGAATTGTTTAAAGTTCACCCATTTTTTTTTGTTCCATTGCTTCCTTTTTTTTTTTCCTTTTTTTTTTTTTTATGCTTCCCATGTCATTCAATATTTTGCCCATAGAATTCTTCAGTAATACAACTCAAAGACTGAGTTGTCCCTTCAGTTTTTACAGCTTGAGAAATGCTGATCGTGGTCTTCCCTTTTGATTTTTTAAGTTCAGGTGTTTGCACATTTCACCTAGAAAGTGTCTAGGGAGTGGGGCCTCATAATGTGCATTTTAAAAAATTCTCAGATCATGCTGATACTGCCATTCCAAAACACCATTCTACAGGAGAGAGTTACTGATTTCCAACTCTATGAAACTATCTCCAATCATTTCCTGGGAATAGGAAGTAATTAAATACTTTAGATATGTCCTAGCTATTCCCAATGGAGGAAACAAAAACACCCCAGAGGGAAGAGTTTGAATTATAGGGAAAAGCTATCCTTACCAAGCCATACCAAGTTCCTGTAGTTCTCCAACATGACATCTCTGTACAAATCCCTCTGAGATGAATCCAGCCATTCCCACTCCTCTTGGGAAAAGTCTACAGCCACATCCCTAAAGGTCACCAATCCCTGAAATAAAAATTTTATTTTTTACTAAATACCCAGGTCCCATATAATTCTAGCAAAACTCACGAATTCTGCCAGAGTTCAAAGCTCTAGTGATACAAAGAAAATAATTATTAAGAAACAACTATGTGCCCAGGTTTACCAAATACTTTTAAAGAGAAATACTGAAAACAGAGTCATCCCTTGAAAGATTTAAATTTTGGGGAAAGAGAAAAAACATACATACATATACAGGAAAAAAGTTAGCTCACATGAAATTGTGTATGAGCAAAGGCTAAGATGTATGTTATGTACACTGCATAAAGAAATTCTTTTACAGAGAATTCCTTTATATTCCTAAAACTGGTATATATATAGTACATAGTAGTGAAGGAAAGCCTTGAGTTGAGCTTTAACAAAAGGGTGTGGTCTAAATTTAGATTCTAAATATAAGAAGACGCTTCCAAGAATGTATCCTGTATAAATAAAGAAGTATATGTGTAAATAGAGTTTTCATTGGAAGATTATAAGAAAAATAGAAAAAATGCTTACATGTCCAAAAATAGAAGAGTTAAGGCTATACCAATGGACTGCAGTACATGAGTAGAAGGATATCTGTTTTATAAAATCTGTTACATAATAAACATACAGTAAATATTAGCTACTCAATGAATAAATGATAAACTCTCTTAATAATATATCCAAACACAGGAAGAGTACTCAATGCTTAAAATCAGAGTTCCAGTTTATAGGACATGGTCTTTTTATTAAAAATAATAAAATGGCAATTATTATTATTATATATAGTGGCTATATATAGTGGCTTAAAGTACACAAATTATATAGTATTGTACAACTTCCATTTACCTCTCTACCCTTGCCTATGTCCTGTATAGACTTCATCAATAGATTTCCTTTCTCCACTCCATTTTCAGTTGGCTTAGTCACAAGCAAGAGATAGGAGGAAGGCAAGTGAGGCAGAATATTTCCCCTGGCTCCCTCCATGCTGTGTCCCTCTAGGTAGTTTCTATAGCTCAGTCCAAGATCACACTGTTGGAGATCCTCTCCAACCCGTTCTGTCTGTCTCTGGGTTTAGACATAGGGTTAGCAAGGGAGCTCTGCTATTTTAAGCCCAGAGCATAGTACTATCATTTATGGTTTCTCTATATCCTGATCATATCTTGCTAGAACCCTAATACACAGGCTGATCCAATGTACTTCTAGAATACATGAACAAAGATCCCACAGAAGCACTGCCAGATAACTCTACCACACTGTCTTAATAAATTCATTCTTACTCCCACAATGATTCTTTCATACCTTCTGTCTCTCTCAAACCACCAACTCCGCTTCCCATTCTCACTTTGAGCTGCTGACTCTGCTCCTTTTTTCACTGAGAAAATAGGAACAACAGAAAAATAACTTCCTCATTTCCTGCCATTATATCTACTTATCTACCTGCATCATATATTTCACCTTTCTTGTTACTATGCGCAAGGAGTTCTGATGGCACAGTGGTTAAAGCATTTCGTTGCTAACCAAAAGGTTGGCAGTTGAAACCCACCAAGCACTCTGCGGTAGAAAGATGAGGCAGTCTATTTCCATAAAGATTTATAGCCCTGAAAACCCTATG